ATGTGTATGATTATGCCAAGAAATCACATATATAGCAAGCACAAACAAATCACACCAAAAACCTTAGGTTTAAGGCTTGCATGTGTTTTAAGGTCATACCCTCTTGAAGTTGGATTGGTTCAACCTGTCCTATAAATAGTAATCGGGTTCTAAGGGATCTCAATATCACTGATCTTTCCCACAAGTTTTATTCTGATAGGCGATTGACTCGCAACCAAACAAAACTCAAGAGACAAATCTCAATGAGTGTAGCATTGAGTATCTGCCAACTTTGGGAATACACCAAAGACGGTCATCTCACCACGTCCTAATGGCCAAGTTGTTCATTTAAAGGTTCTAAGGTCAGCTGACGCTTCATGACACCACGCAGCGGCCCCGTATTCTCCTTGATTAACTCAAGGGCTACCGGTACCAACCAAAGTTTCGCATCAAAGTAACCATCGCTTCAACTGTGTCGGTATATCCTACACAGTTTCCATGATCTATTTCTACTTACCTAAAAGGTTTCCCCAGATCCGGGTGTAGGATGTATAGTACCCAAACAAATACCATTAAAAGTAAAGCAAACAAACAAACAAAGAAGCAAAATGATCTAGACCCTAAGGTAAACCCCACTTTTATTTTCCCCCAGCAGAGTTGTCAGTTCTGTGATATATATGGTGGCAGAACCGACTGTGCATATGTGTTAAATTCGGTTATTTATCTTGCATTATTAAGTTTTCTAACATTTTAATTTTCAGTCTTATCATGCACGCCTAGTTACTAACAGTTAATATTTAGAGAAATATCAAGTGCGAAAATTTAAATCCTAGAAGTGTAGAATTTCATTGAAAATCTCGATTTTTTGGCCTTTTCGCTTGATTTCTTCAAAAAAGGCTCCAAATGGGCATATTTCCTGAAAGCAAGACAAATACAAGCATAACGCAACAAAACAATACTAAAAATTATGAAAAGCATGTGTTATTTGAGTCAAATATGCAATGCGACCAGGTGTTATTAGCAGGTTGCTTCTGACTATTTGAATTGTGTTATTAGTCCCTCAACGTTTCCGTTTCTTGGGATTCAAATTGGATGTAATACAAGGATGCGATCCTCTTGGGATTTAGTTCTTGCTAAGGTGAGGAATAAATGGGTGTCTTGGAAAGGTAAAAATCTAAATCTTGGAGGGAGGGCAACCTTGCTCAATGTGATTTTAAAATCGATACCCCTGTTTACCTTCTCATTCTACAAAGCGCCTAAAGCAGTTATTCAAGAGCTTATCAACATTCAATGATCTTTTTTATGGAATGGTAAAGAAAAGTTTAGAAGGATCAATTGCGTGGCTTTGTCGACTATTTGTTTGTCGAAAGAGGAAGGTGGTCCTAGCGTGAAGTATTGTGATTTATTTAATAAAGCATTAATGAGCAAATGGGGTTGGGGGATTTCTGTTGAGAAGGATTCTTTATGGCATACAATTCTATCTTTCAATTATGGTGATATCAAGTTAGCGATTCAAGTTGATTCTTTTTCTTGTATTAATTCAAAGCATTCATTGGTGGAGAGATTTATATATTTCAGCAAGTTCAAAGTTTGGTTGACTTTTCCTATAGAAACCCTAATTAGCAATTATTGACTTCTGATGAATTAGGAGCATTTCTTGAGGAATCATGATCAACCCTTGATCAAATGATGGATATCACTTCAAAATGTTGATGTTGACCAAAATTCTTGAAGTTTGACTGTATATAGGCCACCGTTGACTTTTGACCTAGTATAGTTGATTTTCCAACATTTGAGCAATTGACTAAGCAAACTTATAGTGCAAGACATAAAACTTGTCATGGATAATCTTTAAGACATATTAGGACCATGGAAGACACTTGATACCTTTGGAGCTCACACATCTTGGTGAAAAATGAAACCCTAGTTGGAAGGCCAATGCTTATGAGGAGAATTTGTCTGATCAATTCTTGGTCAACCTTGAGCAATTGAGGACCTCTAGGAGTATGTCTTGTGTGAAAATGGGAGGAAAATTTTTGGGGTACAACAGGCGCTTCAAGTGTTAAAGCAGCAAACCTATTTTTAAGAAATTAGTTTCTTAACTTAGTAAAAAAGTGGTTTCAACTCGAAATAATTGACATAAAGAGATTCTTGGCTTTTGCTCGAAAATAGGATTGTAAACCTATAAACGCATCCGAAAATAGTTTCAAAATCGTTTTCTAAACGTGTCAAAGATCCCTAATTACCTAGTAAAAACTCTTTTGCCCTTTTTGAACGGTTAAAAACTAACCAAGTTTACTCTTTGAAATGGAAGACTTTCGGTCTTATCCAAAAATATTAAGTACGAAAAACTTGTGTTAAAAGTTAAAACGGCCCCTAAAGTGTTTCTACTAATACGGTGTTGAAATGTTATCATGACAATGATCCTTACATTCCAACCTTAAAATATTTACCCAGACATGGAAATAAAAGCAAGCATATTAAAGTTGATAGAAATAAACATAGTAATAAAGGAAAGGCAAGGTAATAAAATAAGTAATGCAAGTGCAAAACAAAGCGATTGAATAAAATAAAAAAACATAAATAGAAACCTAATCCAAATCGGAGTCTTTAAATCTTGATACAACTGGAAAGTAAATGCTTGAAGTAAAATGGAGGCAAGATTGTAAGTAAAAGAGATGCTCCAACCTAATCAAGACTATGGTGCAATAATCCTCCAATGTGGCGAATTATTGCTTTTACACAAGTGAGTATAGGCTTAGCGTTGCAAGACTAAGTTGGATCTTGAAAAATGAAATGAAAACTACTATTTATAGAAGTTCTCCAGGTTATGCTTTGACAGAAATTCTCCCCAACTCCTTTTGGGCGGGAAGAAACTTAACAAAGACCACAGCCGCCGAGGCCCCTCCGCGAATGCTGAGCTAGCAGATAGAGAGATCGTGGGGGAAGTGACAGTTATCCTCTGGGTGGAGTGGGACACATTATGCCGCCCCCTATAGCGGCCGCTGAGCTGAATGCCATGTGTAGAATTTCACTGAAAATCTTGATTTCTTCAAAAAGAGCTCCAAATGGGCATATTGCCTGAAAGCAAGACAAATACAAGCATAACGCAAGAAAACAGTACTAAAAATTATGAAAAACATGTGTTATTTGAGTCAAATATGCAATACGATCAGGTGTTATTAGCAGGTTGCTTCTGACTATTTGAATTGTGTTATTAGTCCCTCAACGTTTCCGTTTCTTGGGATTAAAATTGGATGTAATCCAAGGATGCGATCCTCTTGGGCTTTAGTTCTTGCTAAGGTGAGGAATAAATGGGTGTCTTGGAAAGGTAAAAATCTAAATCTTGGAGGGAGGGCAACTTTGCTCAATGTGATTTTAAAATCGATACCCCTGTTTACCTTCTCATTCTACAAAGCGCCTAAAGTAGTTATTCAAGAGCTTATCAACATTCAACGATCTTTTTTATGGAATGGTAAAGAAAAGTTTAGAAGGATCAATTGCGTGGCTTTGTCGATTATTTGTTTGTCGAAAGAGGAAGGTGGTCCTGGCGTGAAGTATTGTGATTTATTTAATAAAGCATTAATGAGCAAATGGGGTTGGGGGATTTCTGTTGAGAAGGATTCTTTATGGCATACAATTCTATCTTTCAAGTATGGTGATATCAAGTTAGCGATTCAAGTTGATTCTTTGTCTTGTATTAACTCAAAGCATTCATTGGTGGAGAGATTTATATATTCTAGTTGGTGCTTGGGGCACTAAAATCAATTGGTTTTACATGAGTCTATCATGCAAAATCGGCAATGATGTTGATATTTATTTTTGGAGGGATTGTTGGATTGGTAAGGAGCCATTATGTAAACAATTTGTCCTATTATTCATCGCTCCACAGGAATCGAATGTGATAATTTCTGAAGCTGGTTATTTGGTTCAGAATTTGAGGGCTTGGTCCTTTTGCGAAAACCTCAATAATTTATCAAGTTTGGAGGCTGCAGAGTGTGTCAGCACTCTATTCAACAACATATTTCGCCTAATCCATCTCTGTCGGATCAGTTTGTTTGGTGGTTTTCTTTTGTAGGTTTTTCGGTAAAACCGGCTTTTAAAAGGTTAGTTGCAGAGCTAGGACATAGTAGAGTATTCTGTTCTAGTATGCTAAAGGCTTTGAGTTTGTTTGGAAATCAAATGTGCCTTTAAATGTTCAAGTTTTCGTGTGGAGGTTATTTCATCATAGACATCAAACAAATAATGAGTTAGCTAAGAGAGGAGTACGTCTTATCAGGTGTGCTTAATCTTGTTTGTTTGTTATGCCTCGACCCAGAAGGAACACACTATCATCTGTTTATATCTTGTAGTGTTGTTGCAGAGGTAAGGATCTCTATTTTAGATTGGGTAGGTGAAAATGCTCCTATCTCTTTTTCTTCTATTCCTGATCAATTTCTACTATTTGATTATGTTTTGAGGAGGAGGGATAGGAATAATATTTGTAGAGCTATTATTTGGTTATCTGTCGTGCGAACTATCTGGTTAATTAGAAATGATATTTTGTTCAATGGTGAGAGCAAAGAGTGTCGTGAGATAGTCTTTGTAGCAAAATTTTTAGTTTGGGATTGGCTCGGTGCTGGTTATTTTGGTCTGTTTAATTCGTCTTTAGCTATTTGGATCGTCAATCCGTTAGATGTGTTAAAAGAATCTTTTTTCGGATTCAATATCTCTTATGCTCGCTTTAATACAATCTAATCTCTTACTTATAAAAAAACATATTATTAATTTGAAGTATAAAAATATGAAGAAAAAAAACATATCTAAATTTAAAATTAGAGATCTAATTCTGTAAATGAAAAAAAGTTGAGGGAGCAAAACCATAAACTTAATAATTAATAATGTAAAAATGTTTCCATCTGACCTGGGTTTTGATTTGTTACCATTGACTATGCTATTATTTATATGATAACTAGAGAAATCTAGATTGTTTATTTAAGTCTAATAAATTACAAAATGTTGGTCTCCTCCTGAAAATTATTTCAGTAGGAATAAGGCCAGTAAGTGTCAAGATCCGTGCAATGTTCCATACCAACCCCATAACCTACAACATTATTAATATTCTGATCTGCACCAACAAAGTTAATATTATTGCATGCATTCATCATATTCATGTTTACTGAGTTCACATGATCAGCAATAGTTACTCCATTTCCAAGATTCAAATTAAGCCCCGAAATGCTGAATCCTCCATCTCCTCCTCCTGTTGTTGCTGACAACATATTTGCAGGATAGTTCAACTGAGAATATTGCACTGTTGGTGCAGCAGTACTATTATAATTATGATTCCATCCGTAAAGGAAATTATGATGAGAAGCTGAAAAATCTCCCAGCATCATATGATTATGACCTATTTCTTGCATGCTATAAAGATTCACTCCTGCTTTTGTAGGGTTTGAATTATTACTAGGATACTTTTTCCCACTTCCACTCTTCTTGAATACCCTACAAACTATCCATCCTTCCTCCTGCATGCACATCCATCTCATATGATTAGTTACAGACATACCAGATACGACACTGACACTGACACTGATACATTAATACTACCGATAATAATTTGAAAAAATGAGCTTATAAATGTTATACCTTGTTTGTTGTGAAGGTGGATTGAGAGTGAACACGATATTCATGTATAACCCAACTGCTTTTCTCTCCTCTAGGAGCTCTACCTTTGTAGAAAACCAAAGTTTTCTTCATACCAACTAACTCTGACGTAACACTGTTGAAAATTTCTCTATCTTTTCCTGTGGTTTTCCAGTATCCAGTGTTAGTTGCTCGGTTGGTTCTTACACCTGTTGGGTATTTACGATCTCTCATACTGAAAAAGTACCATTCCTTTTCTCCCATCTTTGCTTTTCCTATAATTAATCACTCAAATAATTATATTTTCATTACAATATTAAACAAAAAAAACACATAAATATATGGATTTATTTTATATACCTGGAAGGTCCCATGGTTCAAATTTATTGAGGTCTATATCAGTAATTGCTCTTCCTGTAAAACTAGAATCTGATATCTTGTTTATGAGATAGCAAGTGATGAGTTCTTCGTCTGTAGGATGAAATCGAAATCCAGGTGGTAGGGTTTTCTCCTTTCCAACACTTTCTTCCATTACTTGAGTGTTTAGGTTTTGATGTATATTGAGTATATTTCACAGTAACTTGAATAGAGTGTATATATGAATGAAGTTAGAGAGGTTTCTAGTTACTACTAATCAGCATTACATAAGAAATTAGATGAGGAATTTAAGTATTAAGGGAAAGAAGAAAAACGTGAGGCAGTGTGTTTTTGAAGATTCCACCAAATGTGGGTCTTCACCTTCAAGTTGTACATGCTGACAACATAATAGCTGTAAAATGTAATTTTTGTTTAGTTACATAATAGTCTAATGATCATAATTTCACTTATTAAAAAAATATAAATGAAATGTCTTAAATTCGATTTATCATAAACAACTAAGTAAAATTGACTTAACATAACTGTAAAATGTAAATTGATTATCAAGAAAAAATAAATAGACATGCAATTGCAATTTGATTAAAAAAAACTAGATTCCTATGTACACTATTTTCAATAAAAATTTTATTATTATTATTATTATTAATATTAATATTATTATTATTATTATTATTATAAAGTTTATATTTATTTGAAAATAATGAAATTTATCTTTAAACTTTAAAAAAAATACATATCAGATTGGTTCATAATATATACTTAAAAGCCACCTAGAGGGGTGACATATTGGAAAGAACTAAAATTCCAAAAAGTTCAAATCCTGATTCAGAATCTGAAACAATTGAATAGGATTAATTTAATAGAGGAATACATCATTTGCTCACAATTATAACAAATTTCACTTTTTGATTTATTAAATATATTAATTTATTAAATAAATTAAAAAAATGTTAAATTTACTATAATAGTGATGGAATGGTCTATATGAAAATAAAAATAATAATAATATAATAAATTATATTTAGACACTCTTATAAATCACAAATATCACATATTTGATATATCATATTATTTTTTGTATTTCATTTTCTTTTACTTATAATATGTTAGAAGGGGTATACTACTATTGCTCGTAGTTTATTTTGAAAAGAAAAATACTATACTATAAAAGAATTGGATAGCATAGATTTCAGAGCCAACTCAAAATAATGGACCTTATGTGTGCCAAAAAGTCACAATGCACCAAGATTAGGAATATTATGAGGAAGTAGAAGAACAAAAAAACACACATGTAGACAGGGTTCCCTAAGAAACTGCAAACATTTTTGTCAAATGGATTATTTCATGGAAAGACCGTTTCTTATCCCCCTGACCAGTTTCCATAAATCCATGTATCCTCTCCTTCATTTCTTTATTCTTTTCTATTTTCTTGGCTTCCATTTAGTTTTTCCACATTCAACTACTAATTACTCCATTTTGATTATAACTTTACCATTCTAAAAAAACATTTCAAGTAATCAAATAATTGGGCTCGAGTGGTAAACGGATTTTTGCTAAAGAACGAAGGTTCGGAAATACATAAGTTGATTTCTGATGGAAATAATATTTGGCCAGTGATATGACCTCTCAACACGAACTTCATTCCTCTGGGAATTATTTTGGAGATTGATGTATTGAGTGACTCATCAAACTCTTTAATAAAATTATTAGGTCAAAACAAATGGCGGGTGAATGGAAAAGAAACATTGTAGTTCCAATATATAAAACAACGAGGATATACAAAATTAAGCAAATTATAAGGGGGCATTAAATTTATGAGTCATACCATGATGTTATGGGGAAAAATGATTGAATGGGGATTAAGAAAAGAGACGCAAGTCTCTGAAAATTAATTTGGTTTTATGCCTGGAAGGTCGATCATGGAAGCGATCTATCTACTACAATGTGTGATGGAGCAGTATCAGATGGTTGCACCTAATTTTATTGACTTGGAGAAGACATTTGATAGAGTGACAAAAGAGATTTTATGGAAAATCCTAGAGAAGGAAATAATTATGATTGCAAATATTCGAGTTATTCAAGATATATATGAAGGGGTATTGACTAGTGTGCAGACACAAGGTGGAGAGACATACAATTTCACCATTACAATAGGGTTAAATTAAATTCCAACCTTACGCCCTTACTTTTTTATCTTAATTTTAGAAGTACTCAGATAACACATCCAATAGCTAGCACCGAGATGTATGCTTTTTGCATAGGATGTAGTCCTACTTGGAGATGTGTCATACCCTAATTTTTGCCCCTAAGATCTTACCTCATTTGCATCTTTGTAATCCATCAAGATCACAACATTGGGTTGCCTTTTAACCTTTGTTTTCCCAATCTTCTTTGGATTTGCCTTTGAGGGATCACCAAGCACTCTATTGTGAATCTTCTACATTTATTTATACATGCCTTATTTTATGCTAACCTCTAATTAAAATACAAACAGACATGTCTTTGTTTTCCTTTGTTTGTTTTGAAAGGACAAGTGTGAACCAAGTGGATCAAGCAAGTTCCCTTAACTAGAGTTTCATCTGATCAAAGTCAAAGTGTGGTCAACATTGATCCTCAAGGACTTGTGAATTAGTGTGGTCAACATTGGTCTTAGGTCATGTCATCTTCAAGCATCATTCAATCTTAATTGATCAAGATTTCTCCAATGATTGGTTGCTTATTCCTCAAGGTAGGTCAAAAGGTTTATGTGTTTATTTTCATGTCTTCTTCATTAAGTAACCTCAAGCATGGCCATGATAAATCAAAAGTCAGTGAATATTTCATCATTCTAAGTTCATATGAGCCTCATCATGCTTTGAAAGGCAAGAAAAAACCAAAAGTATCAAAGTTAAGCAAAGTGGTTTGACCTAGTTTGACAAGTTTTCAAGTCAAAGTTCACAAAACCAAAACTCCTTCATTATTCAATATTTTTGAATGTTTATTTTTGCATATGACTCTACTTTCCACCCTCTACAACCTCTCTTTATAAGTCAAGAGCTAATTATGTAAGGAAAATTATCAAAAGTTTGAAGACATTATAGGTCATTTGTGGACTTAGTGAAAATTTGACCTAATTTCAAGTGGGTTTTTCCCAACTTTCATGAATCATAAATTTCTAAACTTTTATCATATGAAGCTCATTATTTTGGAAAAATAATCTTATTGATGCCCTCTACAAGTTTTCTTCAAGGATCAAGAGCTAAATATGCTTGGAAAGTCATGGAATTCATTGATACATTATAGGTCATTTTAAGGCATTTATACTTAGAATTTTTTCTAAGTATCGAGACAGTTTTTTATGCCAACTTTAACACACCATAATTTTTTTTCTCAATCATCCAACTAAATACTTTCGTAGCATATTGTGATCTTTGTGATGTTGTCTATAAATTGTAAAAAGAATGAGTGCGAAAAGTCTTTTGTGCATGATGCCCCATGAATTTGAAATGGTTACTTGGGGCTGAAGTTTTTATCATGACCAAAATTTTGCATCTTACTAATTCAAATTACAAGCCAATTTAAGGTCCAGTTTCGTGCGTAATCATGTTTAGCACATGTCCAAAGTGGAAAACGACCTTAAAACTATCCATTTAGCTGCATTTTAACCATGCTTGAGTCACACTTTCCTCACCTTATAGACTCACACGAATTCAATGATTCTCAATCCTTCTCACACGCTTGATCCTTCCATCATCATTTGCTACAAATAGATACCCTTGCTACATTATTTAGCAAGCTTTTGATATCCAAAATCATCCTAAAACTCTCTCTCAAAGCTTAATTTTCTCCACTTCGGTTTTATATTTAGAGACCATTTCAATCTGAACTCTCAATTGCTACACCTTCATTGTTTTTCACTGAAGCTATTCCAACAAAAACCAAGGTTTGAGAGTCACAAATTCGTCCGAACCAAGTTAAGTTTTAGATCTATTTCACCATACTTCATTCTGGAAGATTCCTGTATCAAATTGCTTCAAACTTTTCACTACAATGTAGTCCTTGATCTCATGAAGCTCATGCTTCTTTTGGATTGAATTTTCATCTTGATTTGAGCATTTTATTTCAAATTTCATTTTCAACTTTCTTCTAGTTTTCTTCAAAATTCTGAGCACAATTGATATAAATTCCAATGGTTGTAATGTTTGAGACGACGATGAAGAGACATATCTAATTATATAAGCCTCAGCCTCTCATTTTTCCATTTGAGGGATCATGGTTTTGTACTTATTTTTATTAGATTTTTGTTGGCTGGAGGTTGAAGGTGATGAGGTGTCATCTTCAACCATTGAGAACGTGCCAAATGAAATAATCTTACTGGCCTGACTTTTTATGGCTCTGTGTGCATGCTTTGACTTGTTCCCATGGTGAACGTGCGCCTCTGGATCCTTGGATCTTCCATGTCACTTAAGTGACTTCCATCCAACGCTTTATGAGTGCAACTTCATCATTACATATTTTGTATGATGTCAAAACTAGGAAAACTTAGCATTTCTGTATATTGGACGATATCACTTTGTCATGTGGCACTCCCTTGCACTAGAGGTATTAGGAATCATTTAAAACAAGTTTAAAATTGGTCTCAATAATGAAAAATCAGTTTCTTCACAAAAAACATGTTTATGTGTCGACCTAAAATTTGTATACATCGACAAATAAAATAAAAATTCCTGCAATTTCTAAAAAACTCAGTATGTGTCGACACATATGGTTTATGCACCGACACATATGATTTAGGCCATGTAATGCATTATTAAAGCCTGTAGCTACTATTTTGTATGTGTCAGCATATAACCTTTTCAGGTCGGCACATAATGTTTTGTGGGTTATTTTTTCATAATTTTTTCATTCTGAAAAACTTCCCTCTTTTGCCTAAAAAGGTCCCAACTATAAATATATCATTCATGCATCATTCCAACTTGATAATACCATAAAAATTTCTTGTAATTAATCTTCACTTTCAACCTCTAACCTATGCATACACACTAACAAATCATCGTAATAATCTTTTGTTGGGGTGCCATCTAGATGAGGTTCGATAACGTCCAATTAAGTTTTTGTATAGCCGAGAATATTGGGGGTTTTGCAGAGGTCTTCATATGGAAAAACCACAGATTT